TTCCTGCCATGATTCTAATCTGTAACAACCTAGGGTCCTATTTCTTCTCGTTATAAACAACCAAAATAAATTAAGAAAGGGTTCAAAGAATAGATAAAACACACCACTAGCGATATAAACCTAAATAAAACTGCTGTATCTTGTTATAAAGGTTCTACTGTTTAGCATTATAATAATGCTTTCATATTTTGTATTCTTTATATATCATTCTTTGTTCATTTCGAATCTTTCCTTTTGTTTTGTTTTTATGTTTCCCTTTTCGTCCATTCCGATATTACGTCATTACAAACGAACATACACATCCCCTTATTTCCAGTTTAGGAAATAACACTAATTTCCTTTATTTCTCTGGTCTCTCTCTTCCTCCTCCCCCCAGCTTTTCCCAACTTTTTTTGGTCGAGTATATAAAGCCATAAGGAATTTCGAATTTGGAATAAATTGTTCTTCTCTAGAACAATTTTTTAATACTATTACATTGTGATTTGAAGCATATGAATTGAATGGACTGTAGAGGACAAAGCATACGCTAGGTTTGGAACAAGGGTAGATAATTGAGGAATACTTTTGGGATAGTTTTACTTTTTATGTTACTAGATTGAATTGAGATCTTTTTGGAGTTATAATGAATCATAACGTTTTAGATTCAAAGGATTTTTCTGATTTGTCTATTGATGACAATAATGATGTTGTGTTAGACTCAGATAATGACGGTGTTCATGATTGGCAAAATGAGAACAACACCGCTTCTTCTCAATTTTCGTATAGAGAAAATAATCAATTGATTGAACATGGCTCAAAACAAGTGGCACTATCAGAAAATAGAAGAAATTCTGCAATTTTTGAGCAACCTGTACAATCTACTAATTGTTCATCTGGTAATAGCGCAAAATTCCAGCCTCCTTCAAGGAAATTATCTTCTAGTGCGTCGCAAAGTTCGCCAATTGTTCCTAAAAAAAGTTGGCTGGATAAGACAACTTCCCAAGATTTTAGGAAAAATAGCAATCAAAATAATTCTCCTTCTTATAAAATGGGGATGTTGGCAGACGATGCTGCAAAACAATTTTTGCAAGATCCTTCTCCTGAATTGGTAGAATTGTATTCAAATGTTCAGAAATGTAGGGATATAAGATCAAAGTATTTAAATTTATCAAAACAATATTATAATCAGAATCCTAAAAATCAGCAAGACTGGAAAATTTATCCTCCTCCACCAAAACCTTCATACAATTCAGAGACGAAAACCGTAATAACAGTTTTCAATCAACCTGATACAAAAACTTTTAATTTCGAGGATTGTGAAATACCCGGTGAAGACACTGATTGGGAATTCACTACAAATAAGGATGATACCTTCATTGTTAGAAAAGTTGGCACCGAGGATCAACTCATAGCAAATATCCCATCTCTTAGAGACTATTACTTAGACTTAGAGACAATGGTAACAATCTCATCAGATGGTCCAGCAAAATCATTTGCTTTTAGAAGATTACAATATCTAGAGGCTCGTTGGAATCTTTATTATTTGTTAAATGAATATCAGGAAACAACAGTCTCTAAAAAAAATCCTCACAGGGACTTCTACAATGTAAGAAAAGTCGATACTCACGTACACCATTCTGCTTGTATGAACCAAAAACATTTACTTCGTTTCATTAAACACAAATTGAGAACAGAGAAAGATGATAAAGTAATTTATAGAGATGGGAAAGTCTTATCATTGGAAGAAGTATTCAATTCTTTGAATTTGTCTGGTTACGACTTGTCAATTGATACTTTAGATATGCACGCCCATAAGGACACATTTCATAGATTTGATAAATTTAATTTAAAATATAATCCAATAGGTGAATCTCGTTTGAGAGAAATATTTCTGAAGACTGATAATTACATCTATGGTTCTTATTTATCCGAAATTACTAAACAAGTAATGTCAGATTTGGAAAATTCAAAATATCAAAATTGTGAATACAGAATTTCAATTTATGGTAGGTCCATAGATGAGTGGGATAAACTTGCAAGTTGGGTTATTGACAACAAGGTATTCTCTCATAATGTCCGTTGGTTGGTTCAAGTGCCAAGATTATATGACATTTATAAAAAAACAGGGACCGTAGCTTCTTTCCAGGATATTTGTAAGAATCTCTTCCAACCTTTGTTTGAAGTGACAAAAAACCCAAAATCTCATCCAAAATTACACGTATTTTTACAAAGGGTTATTGGTTTTGATTCTGTCGATGATGAATCAAAAGTTGATAGAAGAATTCACAAGAAATATCCAATCCCTTCATTATGGACTGCAAGTCAAAATCCTCCTTACTCATATTATCTGTATTATATATATTCTAACGTGGCATCATTAAACCAATGGAGGGCAAAGAGAGGGTTCAATACTTTTGTATTGAGGCCACATTGTGGTGAAGCCGGTGATCCAGAACATTTAGTGGCATCATACATTGTGGCTGAGGGTATATCACATGGTATTTTATTAAGAAAAGTTCCATTTGTTCAATATCTGTATTATTTAGATCAGGTTGGTATTGCAATGTCACCTTTGTCCAACAATGCCTTATTTTTAACATATGATAAGAATCCATTCCCTCATTATTTCAAGAGAGGTTTAAATGTATCCTTATCAACTGATGATCCATTACAATTCTCATACACAAGAGAACCATTGATTGAAGAATATTCTGTTGCTGCCCAAATTTACAAACTGTCGAACGTTGATATGTGTGAATTGGCTAGGAATTCTGTCATACAAAGTGGTTGGGAAGCTCAAATCAAAGAGCACTGGATTGGTAAAAACTTCGAAGCTCCTGGTATAGAAGGTAACGATGTAGTTAAAACAAATGTTCCAGACATAAGAGTCAATTACAGATGTGATACATTGGCTACTGAGTTGGAACTTGTTAATCATTTCGCCAACTTTAGTACGAGTCCATAGATTTTTATTTATTGTATTTATATATATTCCTACTTTTAATTGATGTTTTAATGTCTAACCATTATTTATGAATGATAAAAGAATATATAATATTAAACTTACATAATGCCATAATTTTATTCAATGATATTGATCACCAAATGCTCTAAATGTTTTTAAATAATTACTGTTAATAATTTTTTGTTCAATCAAAAGTTTTGCATCTTCCCCTATTGCTTCATTATAAAATCCTAATATGTAATCTAATGATTGTATACATTCTGGGTCATTATTTTGTTTCACTTGACGTTTTCTAATATCAAATGGTATAAACCAGAATAGAAAATTATTCCCTAGAACTTCTTTAAAATTTTCCCAAATGCTTCTTTTCTTCCATATATTGGCCATATCTTCTGGAGACATTTCAATGACATATCTATTACCTGAGGTTTTATCCAAATAGCACACAAATTTTTTTATATTCAATTTTTTATTTCTTTTAATGTTGATAATTTCTAATGATGTTCTATTCATAAATGTAAAATAAACGTGAGATAGGAATAACGACAAAGTCATAATTGAAAATGGAACTGAAAGGATTAAAATTACAATTAAGTTTGGATCAAGCTTATACCCAGTATGAGGATAATCAACTATCCTTTTAATATATGAAACGATTGATATCCAAAATATTAATAATAAGCATGAAAAATAAAATACGAATTGAGTAAAAAGAAGATAATTGCTTTTACCAATCACTGTACCTACCCACATACAATGATGATCAAACCTAGGTATACAATAACCTAATCTTTTAGAATGATGAGTTCTACCAATTTTTAAACTCTTACAAGTGTCACACCATATTGGATAACCGTTTATATCACACTCATAAAAAACCGGTGGTGGGATTGAAGCAGTTGCTGTGGGTTCGATAGAACCAAAATTGTTTCTAATCCCATTATCAATTAAAATAAATGGAGGAATTTTTGGTTGTCTTCCAGGACCATATATCCAAATTAACTGAATCCAAATTATTATCAATGTTATATCTAATATGCAGATAATACAAATCAATCCAATAGCAATTGATTCGTGTTTAAAATTTTTATAAATTTGATTATAACACAACTTATGAGAAAATGCCCACGTACTATAGAAGACTAAACCCCAAACGAGAACTGGTAAAAGATAATCAATCAGTCTTTTATCCTTCAATTTTGAATCCATTCAATACAGTAAAGATATATGTAGTAAGAAAGAAGAGTATTTGATATCCTTAAAATCTTGATAAAAGTAACCCAAATTGAACTGATCCCAATTCAAAGGGATAATAATATACAAGAAAACCTAATATAATGTTCAAATGTATAATATCGTATTAGTTTTATTGTACATTAATCATATATGCTTTTATATGCTTATTTCACTAATAATGGGTTTCGACTACTTTATAGCAATCAGTCTATTCCACGTGATGAATATTATGTATCAACAGACTATAATGCATTCACTAATATAGCAGTGACCAAAACTAACCTTACTATCGCCAATCTATAAATCAATATCAATATTAAACTATAATTACCATCAATGTTATAAATAACTTCATTGCTTCCTATCTTTCTTGCTTAAATTATTGATGTAATTATTTACATGAAGTTAGAGAAGACAGTACTTAAATTTGAAAAATATCAGTTTCGAAACAGAAAGAGAAAGCATCAAGCAATGATTCGAAATCGAATTGAATTGATTTAAAGACCAGTTGTTAAGAAAGAAGTATTTGTAGAATTGAACGTTTAACATATAATCTATATGTGTAGTTTGAGTGTTTTTAAGGTTATTACAGTGTGAAATAATTTATTTTAGTTGCTGATGTTACAATGAGTGATGATTTAGTTGAACAGGTAGCGTCAATTTCGATGCAGAAGAATGATAGTGATTCAATAGATATATCAAAATTAGTCGATGAAATTATTGAAGATAATGAATATGTGGAACGTAATACTGATGGGAATGAGGTGACGTTGTATCAGATTTTAGATGTTCTTCCTGATGGTAGGAAGACAATGAATCATTTATTTTACAGTTCAATGATAATCGATAATAAGGATTTTATGAATTTTAATGATTGCACAATTAATCGTAAGAGTAAAGAGATGTCAGATCTATGGTATGCTGAGGAGTTACGGGCTACTTCAAGTATAGCTGCGGGTGCTTTGACTATGGAGGCTCCTGTTATGTTCTCTTGGAGTAATCGATCTACTTCAAAGTTGAAAAGTGAAGATAGTGAAACACAAAAAATTAATAAAACCAATGTGAATATTTCAAATGGCCAAACTACTAATCAAAAACTATATAAATTAGTTTCTGCTGGCTTGAAAGTTATTGATAAGAATTTGAGTAATTGGACTGATGACAATATAGATAGGAATATAGAGAGTAATAACAATGTTGTGAACAATGAACATAATGATACAATCGTTGAATCTAAACCTTGGAAAGATTCAAATTTCAGAGTCGATCCATTACAACAATTTGTAGTAACAGAATTACCTAACAAGATGAAGGCAAGAGATGAGCCTAAGAAGAAGGCAAAAAGTAAGAAGAAAGGATTTTTATGGTTTTGGGGAGGTAGTAGTAAAAAATCATCTAAATCAAGCAAAAAAATTACGACTGAAGATAATGTCGCCAAAAGTAGTAGATACGGGGAAGAATATATTAGTGCAAGCGACTTTGACAATGATGAGTTAGAAATTAATTCGTCCAACACAACCGAACATAAATATCCAATTAGCGCTGCACCTAATGATAATCCTGATCTACTTTCTGATATAATAGATGTTGATAGTAGCATAATCAAACCATTAGATAAACGTGAGTCAACCACACCAATGGTTACGAACACAATGCCAGATTTTAAACAAGCCAAAGCTCCAGCTGAAGCCCAAGCTCCAACCGAAGCATCAGAAAACAATGATGATGACGATAACGACGATGACGATGATGATTTTGGAGATTTCGAAGAAGCTTCTATTAATGCACCATCAAGCAATGCATCTGAAATACACTTAACAAACAAGGATAATTTAATTTCAGCACCCCCACCATCAAACAACAGCATCATAGATTTATTCTCTTCAAAGGAAACAATGACAGAAACGGGTAACAAGTTGGAAACTGATACCAAAACTCCTTTGAATTCAATTGACATTAGCATGAATTCATTTGTACCATTACAACCTTCGAAAAAGTAGCATAACAATTACAATTATAATAATAGTGATAAATTTTATACAAAATCAGATTTAAATGGGATATATTTAAAACTTACATAATAATACAAAAGGGAAAATAGATCGATCGCATACATAACCTTCACTAGATGCATAAAAGACTAAATAATCTAAGAAATTAATTACTTATTAATGTCATCATGCGTATTAAATTTCAGGTGTCTAACACCCTGTACAAGTAAACTCGAAGAAGAAGCCTTAACTTAAACTTGTAAACTGAAATAGAATTGAAAAAAAACATTAGCAACAATACTGCAATGAAGATGGACTACTATGATTACAAATATACTGCTTCTTAATCTACAATTACGTTATAACTTTAATCTCAAGTGTACTACTGTAACCGCATCACCAAATTTGAGGCTAGACTCGAACAGAAGCTCTTTCCTGTCTTGTCTTGTCCTGTCCTGCCTTACCCTTACTACAACTTTTTTTTTTCTTCCTAGCGTAGGCTCAAATTTTGATGGTAGACCACAACCGTTCCTGTCTAGAATTTAGGCAGAACCCGTTGACAAAATTTCCTTCTAGTTCCAGCCCATTGCCATAAAGCAAGAAGCAAGGGAAGCAGTTAGACTACATCAAAATCACTCAAGAGCTTAATGGCAAGTTGAACTGAACTAGCTGAGTTTGGCCAAGTTAGTCAGTACAAATTCAATAAGAATCGTGGGAAGGACGTTATGAACAATTCGAGACAACCTAGTGCATTGGCGTACTGAAAGAGCATACTTCACTGCATTTCAAATCATCAAAAACTATTTTTGCGATATGAGTGAATGTTTTACTGTGCGATTGATTAAGGTAATATAATATATCAATTTTTCAATACAATTGATAAACTTGAATTATTTCTGCACTTGTTCATGCATCTTGTTCTTGTGCTTTTGCTTCAGAGAATGATTTCGCACTGCAGTCGATAGCAACTATGTCTACGATCAATGGCTGGGACTGGACTGCCAACAAAAAGTTAACTGTTGGATTATGTGTAAAAAAGGATCGTATTGTATGTAAGCCAAAGTTGCTGATAGCTATCAATGATGGCTTACCAAAGTTTAGGGGTGTTAGTCTTTAGAAAGTAGTATTCATCAATAATTCGATTCAATTAAACATACTTCAGTTTGTTTTTTTGATTTCAGTCAATTGGAAAGGAAAAAAAAAAGTATATAAGTAACAGTCTTGATTCATCATCTTGATATTTCGAATTCATAAATTATATTTCAATCATTTTATAAAATATAAAAAACCATCAACAATATCATTGATATTTTAATCCCAACTCAACAACAACAAATACTTTAACTTTTAATAATTACGAAATGTCTGTCTCTGCTTTAGTCAACAAACCATTACCAACCGGTGACTTCAAATTCCAATATATTTCTATCTTACCAAGTGATGCTAACCAAGATGCTTGTAAGATGCCAGTTACCATTGACTGGACTCAATTTGTCAAGGAAAACAAGACCATTGTCATCACTGGTGCTCCAGCTGCTTTCTCTCCAACTTGTTCCATTTCCCATATTCCAGGTTACTTGGAAAAGAAAGATGAATTGTTAAAGAAAGCTGACCAAATCATCGTTTTAACTGTCGACAACCCATTTGCTCAACAAGCTTGGGCTAGACAATTGGGTGTTACTGACACTACTAAATTGAAGTTCGCTTCTGATGCTGGTGCTCACTTCATCAAATCCTTGGGCTTAGAATTGGATGTTGGTAACGGTGTCTTCTGGAGTGGTAGATGGGCTTTGGTCGTCAAAGATGGTATTGTCACCTACGCTGGTAAAGAAGAAAACCCAGCTACCGATGTCACCGTCTCATCAGTCGACAGTGTTTTGGCTGCTTTATAATTTTCTGTATGCTCTAAAAGAAAAAGCCAAAACCAAAAATTACCTTTATATTATTAACCAAATTTATAGATAATTCCGGAAATTCATTTATATATAATTTTATTAATCAATAAAATAACTATCATTTAAAATTTAGGTTCATTTAATACCGTATCCTACCACTTACCTTGACCGTTGATCTTACATAATTAACACGCCATTTTACGTCATTTCTTATAATAACACTTTTCTTCTCATCGCGATATTTTGCTAATATCAAAAATATTGAAATCATATATAAATTTTAAGATGGTGAAAAATAGATCTTGACATATAACAACAGGTGTCATATAATGTTTGTAATTGAAGGCACGGAAACCATTAGGGATAGACTAGTTAAGTACAAGATCTTATTTGTTGGTATTTTTTTTTAAAAAAATTTTGAAGCCACTCATTTTTGGTAGTGATCAAACAAGAGATGACTAGATTATTGCTTATCTTCATTGTGGGATGGTATATTTGTTCAATTACACTTTCTGTTTATAACAAATGGATGTTTGATCCTACCAAACAGTTTCATATCCCCTATCCCATTCTAGTAACTTCATTTCACCAGTTTAGTTTGTGGATAATAGCTTTCTTGTATATGTCATTGACTGGTATTGAAAGAGACAAGAGTCAAACTTATAATAGTGATGGTACCTTTAATTGGGTATATTACTTAAAATTTATTGTACCAACAGCTGTGGCTACAGCAGGGGATATTGGATTCAGCAACGAATCTTTGGAGTATGTTCCTTTGACGGTTTATACTATCGTTAAATCATCAAGTATTGCATTTGTACTATTATTCGGTTGCATATTTAAATTAGAAAGGTTTCATTGGAAATTGGCAATTATTGTAACAGTGATGTTTACTGGTGTAGTCATCATGGTTTATGATCCTTCTGGAAATAAGGAAAATGCTAAACGCAGACATAATATTTTGTTAGGATCATTTTTTGTACTGATTGGGAGTTGTTTATCAGGTTTAAGATGGGTTTTTACACAATTAGTATTAAGGTACAATGAAGGTAATAAAAATTATGAAATTGTTGCAAGTAATGAAATTACAATTGAAACTGACGATACAGCTTCTGTTGAAGAAAATTTTGAAAAAATTTCAGAAAAATTACATCCTATTCATACCATTTATGAATTAGCTCCTGTAATGGCAATAGTCTTATTCATAACGTCATTATTTTTAGAGACACCATTTCCTGGGTTATTTAACTTACAAATATTTAAAGTTTTAGAAAAAACCGAAAACAACGAAATATGGCATACAACGGCTTTATCAGTATTCAAGGGCATCCTTTTACTTGTAATCCCAGGTTTCTTAGTATTTGGAATGACAATTTGTGAATTTGGTATTTTACAAATATCAAAAGTTTTGACTTTGTCAGTTGCTGGTATAGTTAAGGAAGTACTAACTATCATATTCGGAATATTGATATTAGGTGAGAAAATTAAAGGTTGGCATTGTTGGGTTGGTATGATAATTATTTTATGTGACGTTTCATATTATAATTACTTTAGATATAATGAGAAAATAGAAGAAGCATCATCATCGAATGATAATACTTATAACAATGACGACGAAGAAGAGAACATTCAGTTTAGGACAGTCATTGACTATAATAAAAAATCTGATCAAGAACAAGACGACAAACTAACAAGTGCCTATTCCATAGTCTTGGACCCATCATCTAAGGACATTGAATTGGATGACATCAATAACGATATCATTGATAGCAATATAGAATCTACTGAAGATACCCTAGTTAAGTAAGTAGTACATAGCATGCTAATTTAAGAGGATAAAAGAGAAAAAAACTTGTAAATCTAAATGTTATTGTTAATAAAATAAATAATGTATAAATAGCTCTGTGAAATGTGAGTGTGAAGATAATGGAGGGAGAGCCCAAAACCCAACCGAGATATTACAACACTAGTAAGTGAGTGATAGCAGAATTGAAACGTTACGAGACATTAGTGAGAAATTTTTCGCTAGTTAATTCAAAATAAATAAATAAAAACCTTGTAACCAAAATTGACATCTGACAGAAATTAGCCGTTTTATGAATAATTAGCCCTTGTGAAATGTGATTGAAAGTTATAAATAAAAATAATAAGTAAAAAAAATGTTAGGGGCGGCAACAAATAAATAAAAAGATTTTTAATCTATTGTATTCATCACAAATCATAAAAGTTAAAAGTTAATAAACGGTTAATTTGGAAAGGTAGCCAATAGTAGTCGAAGGCCTTATGGTTTAAATTAAATTAGATAACTTGAGCAGCATCTCTCTTAGTCCAGATAATGTCAGCAGGGTTCAATGGCAAGGTAACCATAGATTGGAAATCTGAATTTGGAACAGTTCTACCTTCTGGGAATTTCCAAGTCATAGTTCTGATGAAGATGGACATCAAGACACCTAATTGACAGTAAGCGAAATGTTCACCAATACATCTGTGTCTACCACCACCGAAAGGCAAGTATGGAGAAGAGACACCCTTAGTAACGACACCGAAACCATAATCGATTTCTTCACCTACAGAGTAAGAAGAAGTGGCATCGTTATCCCATCTGTGCATGTTGAATTGTTTAGCATTTGGGAAGTATTCATCTTGCAAATGTGTGTAACCTGGAGAGACCATAACGTAGTAATCCTTTGGAACAACGTAAGAAGTGTTTGGAACTTTCATATCCTTCATAACCTTACGGAAGATAGAGTGCAAAGGATGGTGTAATCTCAAAGTTTCCTTAATACATTGGTTCAATAGAGGCATTTCTTGGATTAAATCATAAGTCAATTCCTTTTTACCGTTATCCAATACTCTCATTTGTTCTTCGTACAATTCCTTTTGAACATCTGGTCTTTCAGCCAAATGTAACAAAGCCCAAGCGGAAGTAGCAGCAGAAGTATGTTGACCACCCATCAAGACACCGATTAACAAGTTAGCGATTTCTTTGTCAGTCATCTTAACACCATCTTTGTAAGTAGAGTTTTTCATTAAAGTATCAACCAAATCACGATCTTGGATATCATTTTCATCACGTCTCTTCTTGATCAAAGACAAATAAGTGGAAGAGATAACTCTTTGAGCGTTATCTCTCTTTCTATAGTGTTCCAATGGTAAGTTTGGGAAGACGAAGTTAATTGGGGTGAAACCTTTATCCAAATCAGAGTACAAGTAAGCAAAATCGGTATCCAATTTATCTCTCATTTCTTTACCCAACAAAGATCTTGAAGCGGTGAAGATGGTCATTTCAGATTGAGTAGCCAAGACATTGACGGTACCTTCAGATTTCTCATTTATCTTGAAGAAAGGAGAAGATCTCAAGTATTTAACCATTTCTTCGACCATTAGAGGGACGTATCTAGCGAAAGCTTCTTTAGTCAAAGCACCTTTAACAAACTTCTTTTGATCCATTAATCTATGGTTTGGACAATCGTAGATGACACCTTTACCGAAAACTGGGGTAGTCAAATGAGCATAAGCAGCTTCAGCGGAGACATCAGCCAATTTGGCATTGAATACAAATTCATGACCCTTTGGACCCAAGTAGACGGTCATAATTCTACCCAACAACATAAATGAGAAACAGTCACCATACTTCTTTTGACAGTCACCAAAGAATTGGTATGGTTTAGAACCATAAGTGACAGCAGAACCAACCCATGGAATCCAATAGAAGACCAAAGGAGGTCTATCCTTTCTCAAAGAATATAGTAATTGCCAAGTAATGGAGTAAATGAAAGGAGCAATGAATACAATGGAGATACGTTGTGATAAAGGTAAACTCATAAAATATGATAAACCAATAGTAACGTATTCGGCCAAAGAGGCCACAATAGATTGATCAGACATGGTTTCTCAATTCCTTAAAATCCAGAATGAAGAATCTACAACTAAGCTAAAGAAAGAATACTGTAAGATCAATCAGTTCTGAGATAGTCGAGTTCTTATGATAAAAAAAAAATTATCTAAACAAGAACACAACAAAAATATATAAATATATATACTTAGATATATATATATACTAAACGAAAAGAACAAGACAAGATCAAAAGAAGCTAAACGTAACGAAAGTTCGAAAACAAGAGATATACAGGAAACCAAACCGAGCCAAACCTGTCAATTACAAGCTTCTAACAGAGGTTTATATATACATCCCAAACTATGATAAAAAGTTTGCTTGTCTCAGTTACAGAGTGAAAACTTTTGTAAAATTGGCAATACCAAAGAGCAATACCAAAGAGCAACAACAAAGAGGTAAAGGTATAGAGGCTATTAAGGTATAAAGCAGTTTTTCACTTGCTGAAGATGGATTGGGATAAAGATGAAGATGAAGTAGTTGATGAAGTAGTTGATGAAGATGGAAATGGAAATGGAAATGGGTAAGAAAGCAGAAAACGAGATGGTAAAAGTTTCTGAGACAAGGCTGTATGTAGAGAAGACGACTGCTTACTTCGAGAGAGAGTTGGACAGTTTTGGGTAAGAACATATTAGACTAGAGAGACATGAGACAAGAGAGAGAAAGAGAGAGAGACCAGTGACGACGATTAGATGCGATGCGATGCGATGAGATGAGATGAAATCAGATGAAATGTGATGTGATGAGATGAGCTTTACAAAAAATTGCTGCATTAGATTACAATTGAGACAGATTTTGGCGAACGGTTTAGTGGGATGGATAGAAGAAAAGGTTCCAATGAACGATCAAAAGTCAATTCAGGTCAGTCCAAGTTTGCTAAAAAACTAGTAAGCATCTCACCGTATAGAAGGCATTTCATTCATTCATTCAATTCGAATCCCAATCCATCGTTATATTTGGTCAAAGAAAGAAAATTTTTTTTTTCATAGATACAATGGGAAGAAGTGACCCAGAGAGTGAACATTAATTAATCTTAATGTAGTGTAGTATAGTGTAGTGTAGTATGTCACAGCACAGTTTACTAAATTCACTCTGCCACATTTAATTGAGTTCTGGTAACCGAAAAAGTTCAGTCGTAAAGGTAACTTGTATTTTTATTCTCTTATAGATGAGTTTTGCATAGTTCTTGGATTGCTCGTGTACGTGTCGTTGTGAGCAATTACCGATATGTGTCTTGTCAAGTCGTATTCGAAAAATTATTAATTGGCATTACTATTGCTATTACTATCTGCTATATGCTATATGCTATATGCTATCTGATATCTGATATCTCCTATCTGTTATTGTACTTACTTCATACTTGTATGTCTCCTATACTAGGCTATACTAGGCTATACTATACTTTTTGGCATACTCTCTCCTATTTGCTATATTGGAATGCATTAAAGTGAGAGATTCATTTGAAACAAACCTGTACACCCCATACCAACTTCATCTCTGACAAAAATATTATACTTGTATATATCTTTTACCTATACATACTCGTTTAGAATTCGTATTATTAATACTAATTAACTACAACAACACATACATACCAATTCGTAACTGTCTATTGCCAGCTTGAGGTATATATGTCATCTCATCTGTATTTCACCACACTTTGCATTCATCCATTCAGAAAGTCGACGATTGATCCATCCTCACATGAATTGGATCTCCGGATGGTAATAATATGGTATGTTATAATACGAACGTTTGATATCTTGCCAATTAGGTTCTTCTATCCCTCCTTTACCTTTATCGCCATTGCCTTCACTCTTTATCCCAACTGGTACTACTCTATATTCACATCTCATCCCATAGTTCTTCATGTCAATTGATACTATTTCTTTATAAACTTCATAGCATAATTGTCTGTCACCACCAAGACCATTGAAAAATGAAAATATACCATCTGGTTTCAATAACCCAACTATATTATCATACAATTCAATCATATCTTCATACCCTTCACTGAATGTATCATAATAAATACCATCAAAATATATGCCGCCTTCATCTATTATCTTATTCAATTCGTCTTGCCATCTACCTGTCAATACAACTACTCCCTTCTTATCAAACCATCCGTCTTCCTTCATCTTGGCCAACACATCAGGATGTGCTTCACATATATAATGTTTGGTATCTTCATCACGATACTCTTCAATATATCCATCAATTATACCCATACCAAATCCAATGTTTAATACATTTTTGCTTTCATTATCATCGCCATCACCGCTGTTATTGACTGTCTTTAACAAACTTTTAGCTGACATTTTCATAATCTCATCTTCCCAATCCATCATAACACCATCTTGTTCGTCTTTGGTCACCAATGCATTTTCACGATACTCCAACTCTGTCGATAGGAACACTTCAGGTTCATTAGCTGTGGCATCAGAATTCACAGCAACAGCCTGTTCTGGCTTAACTTCTTCAAGTACCTCTTCTTCTTCATCATCTTCCTGTTCCTCAAGGAATTCAATATTTTCATTCACTTTACGTAACAACAACTCAGCACTGACACCAGCTTCAACTAATCTACGATAAAACAAACTGTCAATGCCATATCCTCTATCAATTAAATGATCACCAACAGTTTTATCTTCTGCATCAATAAAATTCCATCCTGCACCATACTCAAACAATGTATTCATCATTTCAAGAATAACCTTCTCTTCCTCATCATTAATGTTTTCAGGCAAATGTTTAGCTAAAACATGCAAAGGTGTAGTGTTACTACCATTACATTCATCATCTTCCTTACCTTCCAAATAATTGTTCAATTGTTCAACTGTATAAGTACTTGGAATACCATTTGATAAATAGTATCTCAATTTTTCCAAATATCCAGAACCAACTGGTCTTTCAGCAAACTTCAAAAGATCGTGTAACTCTGACATACCCACACTTCTAACTCTATTAATTTATATCCGTCACAATTATCAAGAATAACCCATCTATTGCCATGTCTATCGTTGTTGTTGTGGTTATCACTGTTCTTAAATCAATCTCATCTCATCTCATCTCGAAATTTTTCATTTTCATTTTTCAGTTTTGGTGGTTCCTGCAGGTGTATCTCACTATTTGTAGATATTGTAAACTGTAGTTCTACTGACTAAGATAAAAAGTGTCAAAAATTATCAAGAATATATATTGGACATATTATAGGCAACTAAATATATACATACGTATGGAAAAGTATGGATTGGAGATGATTCCTTCCCCTTTCTTTAAAAAAAATAGAACAAAATAGAGTCACCCAGATAGAAACAAACAAACTTCATATAATGACGGTTTAGGCAGAATCGTATCTTCTACCAGCTTCTTCCCAATTGATGACATTCCAAATAGCATTGAAATATTCACCCTTTCTGTTTTCATATTGTAAGTAGTAAGCATGTTCCCAGGCATCAACGGCAACTAAAGGAATGATGTTACCATCAGTGATAGTATCTTGATTATAGGTTTGAACAACATCAATGGTACCACCATTGGCGACATTTTTTACAATAAAGATCCAACCAGAACCTTGAATACCTAACAATTTATCGTTGGATATCTTGACCAAGTTTTCTAATGAGCCATACTGTTTCTCGATTTGAGCAGCCAAGGCACCAGTTGGTGGTTGACCACCAACAGCACTTTGTGGGGATAGATTAGCCCAGAACAAACAATGATTCTTAAACCCACCACCATGGAACTTGATGTTTTGTTGAACACCAATAATCTTACTTGCAATACTTAAATTTTCAGGTTGTTTAGACAATTGCAATTGTAATTCTTGCATTTGTTCAGTTGCTGTGTTAAATCCGTTGACATAGGTTTGATGGTGCTTGCTGTAATGCAATTCGTTAATCTTTCCAGAAATGAATGGTTCTAAAGCAGCAAAATCCCATTCTAACTTTGGTAAAGTTACTTTAGTTCTTTTGAAAACAGAACTTCTGTTTAAAACATTCTTACCAACTGATCTAGCAAACATTTTTCCTTCTTTCTTTTAATCCTTCCAACTCAAGGTTTGACCCTATACACTTTGTCAACAATAAAACATAACCTCAATCAACTCTTGAGCATGCAATGGATTAGGATCCTCTTATATATAAAGGATCCTTAACCATTAAACTGGTTATTAGTCAGCTAACGACATTCCAATTCCTCCCTTCCCTTACATCATCAAATTGATATTGGTTGGTTCGTTAGAAAAGATTCCCGATTTTAAATAAACTTATTAACATAATCAACTATTTTAGAAGGGTTAACCAACAGTTGCATAACAGTTATCATCCTTCAATCAGATATTCATTCGAATCTGTCGACCTCATCTTCGTGTTCATCCACTTCATTTTATTCCAAGGAAACATCTCAATTATCTTTTTAAGACCAATGGTTAGAACAGCGTATGTCAGTCAAATTTATTAAAGCTAGCTTGAATCATTCATTCATTTACTAACAATCAACATCAATGAGCTATTATACAGTGTTATATTCCTTGAAAGAGCCACCCCTGGTACTTTAACAGAATTTAAAGATGCATTATCTAACATGCTTTCGTCAATTCTAGATCCATGGTCTGTTGAGTTTAAAACTTATAGATGCTCGATTAAAAATTTACCTGAAGGTTCTTCAAAAGTTATGCATTCTGTTTCGTTTTCTCACCATGACAAACGTTCTATACTGATTCAAAACAAAAATGCCATTATTACTACTTCAAATTCCAAAGATATACCAAATTCATTGATTTTTAATGGTTGTAGCACTGGTACTGCTGAACCAATTGATAGTATATTATCAACAAAATTGTCAAATATTTGGAGCCAGAGACAAGGTATAAGAGGTGATGCAGGTGAAACTTTGAAAACTGCTGAACTTTTAGTAAGAGCTGTAAATTTATTCTCATCAACTGGATTTAAAGGCTTGTTAATTGAATTAGAATCAATTGAAGATATCTCTGAAGATGAATTTATGAAAAGTTTACAAAATATACGATCAATTCTAAATGACATAAATTCAAAAGATTTTAAAGTATCTACCGACCAATTGTACCCTGATAAACAAAACTATTTAGGTGATTTAGCATATCAATACGTTCGTGTTTTAGAAGTATGAGACATTGGAATTATAATTAATAAAGTTATCACTTTTGATAGAACCACCTACACACTATAATACAGTTTTAAAGACGATCATTGCATCCATTAGTTATATATATATGTGTGTATGTATGTATGTATACACAAAAAATTTGTGAATTACGTGTATTTTAAATAATATATTTACGTCATTATCTAATTCGCTAATTTGCTTAATAAATCTTGAATATTAGATGTTACAAAATTACTAGCACCTTCATTTCCATCATTTGTAGCTGCTGTGGAAGTAGGTTCATATTCCTCAACTTCACCACTGCTACTTTCTTTATCATCACTAGTGATATCATTACTTTTATATTTTTTATTACTGTTGCATTCAACATCCGAAGTTCCAGTCTCTATTTGGTCAGCACTTCTTTTATTTGTCAATAGTTCTAGAATCTGTTGAGTTTCTCCTATGTTTGCAATTTCCGAATCTTCATCGTGAACTACATTTTTATTTGATTTCAAAAACACATCGTCGTTTTTTATATCGTCGTTATCATTGTCATTACTGTTATTATTATTAATATTATTATTATTATTATTCTTGTTGTTTTTATTATTGTCGTCACCATCATTGTCATCTTCATCATCATCATCATCTTCGTCGTCATCGTCGTCACTGACATCATAAGTCGGTAAAATATCATCGTTATTACCATCGACATTAGACTGACCTACGTTTGTAGGATGATTTGAAGTTAATGCCATGTCGATCTCTCCAATAATATTTTCATTTTGTTCCAATAATCTAGTTTCTTCATTTAGTAAGAATTTCAGGACCTCAATATTTGACTTTCTAATTTCAATCGATTGATTTGTGACACCTTTTGCAGTCTGGCCAATTTTCATTATCGATTTATAATCCTCATTATAAACAAGACTTGAAGGATCCAAGGACTTCAAGGCTTCGTCGAATCTCAACTTAGAGGCAACGACAGTTTGATGAATCTTGATAAGTTCATTCTGTTTCTTTACCAAATCTTTTAATTTCGGTGGGATATTTACAGATTCATTGTCTGAAGAAGTTTGATCGAAAATATTTTGAATTTTATTTAGAACATCTTTACTCAAAATATTTCTTTCTTTCCATATCCCAAAGACTCTTTTAACTTTCTTCTTGATATCACTTGGCAATGATAGATATATCTTTGCATAAACTTGAACACAAGCCTCACCAAATGCATCTTGGAATTGTTTTATCTTTTTCCGTTTAGCTTCTTGCACTACATGATTCAAAAGATAAATACCCAAAAGCTTCCTCCTAGTATTGATACTGCTCCTCAACATATAATCCCTCCAGGTTTCCGCAATTTTTGAAGCTTCACGATGCTGCGAGAGTAACCATTTCGAGGCACTTGCAATAGATTCCTGAGAATCCTCCAAATTATTCAACCTTGAAATAAATTGTTCAACAGAAAATGACATCCTAGACTTAGTTTTCCCTCTCTTCTAAAAGTTTCACACTCAAAACAAACTCAAACACACTCAAAAAAACTGCAAGATACAAAATAAACCCCACACGTCTTGAACCGTATCCTATCCTAACTTCTTGACGATGATAAATCCATCAAACCTTTCCTTTAATATCTATAAACCTTGCTTAAATAAGTCAAAATATTCAATTTTTCTTAATTTTTTTTTATTAAAAAAGGCTTGTTGATATTTCTCGAAAGGCCTTTTTTTAAACCGAACAGCCCAAAAAGGTTTTCCATTTCGAATTCGACTTCGAGATGACGATGATGTAAAAAGATACCATCAGTTTGAAGATGATTGATTCCTATATGATCTGGTGTATTCGTAACCTGGTGGTATTGGGGTGGAGTTTATAATAAAATAGTTTTTTGAATTCAGTTGTGGAGTAGTTTTAGGTTTCTCTTGATACTTGACAATGAACTAACAGGAACAAGAACAAGAACAAGAACAAGAACAAGAATTTGTAGTTAAACGACGACAGACACCATTTTTACCTTTTTACTGTCAGCATTTTTAAGAATAAAAAGAAAACACACAGTTCCCTTAAGATCAATGGAATAGACAGCTTGTATTAGAGTTTTTGTTTGAATACTTACTTGAATGACATATATTAATTCTTATTGTTTCATTACTAGTCTATATAATACTTTGTTTGACACAGACATCTCTTTTTTGTCTAAGAATCAGTTGTAGTTCTTGCTTGATTCAGACAGATTTGGTGAAATAAATTTCGCTTGTGAACCTCATTGCAACAGCAAACTGTTTGTTCTCTTTCTCACCAACCATCGTTTAATGGTAATGGATACTTTGAAAAATTTAATTCAATGGTTTAAATACAACTCAATTCATTTAAGTTGCTTACCTATTCTTGTTTCAAACTTTTTAATCCTTGTCTCTAGTGTATTTTTAATTGATTCAGGTTGTCTCTCAGGACTGGAATTGTACAAGAGATGAGTTCATTCGTTATTGATACAATTAAGAATCAATCCAGTTTGGTTACTTTAACCGTAGGATTGATTACTTGTTATATTTTATACAGTTGGTCTGGTTGTTGTGGTGGTGCTTCCTATAATGTTAAACCTGTTCAATTCTCAATCCCAATTCCTGAGCAAGCTAAAGAAGGTTGGAAAGGAGAAACTGCAAAGACTACTGATATCTATGATTTATCTCAACCTGGCAAGATTCAATCCCATTGTCCTGCTACTGGCCAATATCTAGGTTCATTCCGTTCTAAAACTGTCAAAGACATCGATGAAATGCTTTCAAATGCTGAATCTGCTCAAAGAAACTGGTCAAAATCTTCTTTTGAAAGAAGAATTAGATTCTTGGTCACTTTGGAGGACTACATCTTGAAGAATCAAGATCTAATTGCTCGTGTTGCCTGTAGAGATTCTGGTAAGACTATGTTGGATGCTTCAATGGGTGAAATTTTAGTCACTTTAGAAAAGATTAAATGGATTGTTAAACATGGTGAAAAGGTTTTGAAGCCATCAAGACGCCCAGGTCCAACAAACTTCTTCATGAAGTTTTATAAAGGTGCTGAAATTCGTTATGAACCATTAGGTGTCATTAGTTCAATTGTCTCTTGGAACTATCCTTTCCATAATTTATTAGGTCCAATTATTGCTGCCCTTTTCACTGGTAATGCCATCGTAATGAAATGTTCAGAACAAGTTGTCTGGTCTTCTGAATTCTTTACTGATTTAGTTCGTGAATGTTTAATTGCCTGTGGTGAAGACCCTAACCTAGTTCAATTGTGTTATTGTTTACCACCAACTGAAATTGATAATGCCGCCAATTATTTCACTTCTCATCCTGGTTTTAAACATATTACTTTCATCGGTAGTCAACCTGTTGCTCATCACATCTTGAAATGTGCTGCTCAGTCTCTGACCCCAGTAGTTGTCGAATTAGGTGGTAAAGATGCCTTTATTGTCTTGGATTCTGTCACTAAATTGGAAGCTCTATCTTCAATTATCTTACGTGGTACTTTCCAATCTTCTGGTCAAAACTGTATTGGTATTGAAAGAGTAATCGTTAGTCAAAAGAATTATGATAAATTGGTTAAAATCATCGATGATCGTATGACAAAGGACCCAATGCGTTTAGGGTCAGATATCGATCGTGTTAAAGATGTTGATATGGGTGCTATGATTTCAGACAACAGATTCCAAGAATTAGAAAATTTGGTTAACGACGCTGTTGCCAAAGGTGCAAGATTATTACATGGTGGTTCCCGTTATGAAAACCCTGACTTCCCTCTAGGTCATTATTTCCAACCAACTGTATTAGTAGATGTTACTCCAGATATGAAGATTGCTCAAAATGAAGTCTTTGGTCCAATTTTAGTTATGATGAAGGCTAGCGACACTAATGATTGTATCCAATTAGCCAACTCTGCTCCATTTGGTTTGGGTGGTTCTGTATTTGGTGCTGATACTACTGAATGTAATTATGTTGCCGACAGATTACAAACCGGTAATGTCGCCATTAATGATTTTGCTACATTTTACGTCTGCCAGTTGCCGTTCGGTGGTATTAATGGTTCTGGTTATGGTAAATTTGGTGGTGAAGAAGGTTTATTAGGTCTATGTAATGCCAAAAGTATTTGTTTCGATACATTGCCATTTGTATCCACCCAAATCCCACCTCCATTGGATTACCCAATTAAGAGTAACAAAAGAGCTTGGTTATTCGTCAAGAGTTTCATCACTGGTGCCTATACAAATTCTATATGGGAACGTATCAAATCTCTAATCTCATTAGCCAAAAATTCTTAATCCTGAATGAATTGGCTACTTCTAGACAACGATAGATCTTAATTAAGAATTTCTTATTTATTAATTAATTGATTTAACTAAATACAAATTACGCAATTTAAGAATATATTTACAGATATAACTTTAGTAATTCAACTCATCAAGGTTTTTTCTGCCTGTTTTAGTTGATCTTGCAATTTCTTGGCATAGTCTTTATGCAATTTCTCAAGATCTTGCATTGCTTTTCGAACTGAATCATCTTTTTTATCAAGTTTCTTCATCTCTTTTAAAATATCAGCTCTTACAGATGCCAATGAATTTCTCATAGAAGAACTCTTAAAAGATTCAAAGACAATCTTAAGTTCCTTAACTAAATTCATACGTGATTCAGTTGTTGGTGGAGGTAATAAAACCTTTAAAAGTTGACTGTTATTAGGATCTTTTTCAGGGTTCAAATTCAATCCAGCACCCATTATTGCACTAATAACATTTTTGGCATCTTTAGGATCATAGACTGTTATTAATAAAGAGTTCTTACCCCTGAGAGATGTATGAGCAACGTCTTTAAAACTAGCACCATTATGAAGCTTCAATCCATCAAATATCTTCGGATTAGCTCTACCTTGTTTAATTTCATTCAATTTTTTATTATGCAATTCTAAACTTTCATCAAACAATTTAGTAGCATCAGCAATATAACCTTTGACATCAATTATCTCTACTTCTTCATCAACTTGACCGGCACCATTTTTAGAATTGCCTTTATCATGTGAACCTTTACGTGATGAGGAATTCTTCTTTAATAATGAACTGGTTATAGAGAATTGGCGTTTCACCAATATCAAACTTCTATAATTTGTAGCCAACATAATATACAAAGAGTCCTACCCTCTGGTCCAAACTATATGACAATATTAAATCATGTAACCTTTATAGAAGTTCCAGACATCTTTTTATATATCGAATATATTTTTGATATATTAGATTTTTGTCAAGCTTAAGAAGCGTATCTGAAACCATCGAGTGAATGAATAGTCAAATTGAAACCATATAGATAATTCAATGAAATCAAAGGATCTATCATTTAGGATGATTTAAATTATTCAAAGAAGAAATCTACTAAATAGTTAGATTATTTACCGGTTATCATATACCTGGCCTCAGTAAAATGATGAGATAACATTAAATATTCATATAATTGATTTATATATATTTTATAACTTCCAAAATAAAAAAAAATAATAATATACAATAAAACTAGTTATTAATATGCATCAGTTGAATATAAGTTATTTTATCTGTAATAAATGAATTTGTTCCATATTTGTTGTCATTAATCATTAATGCATGAAATGTAAATAATATTAAAAAGGCTGTAAAACCAAAGTAATAGCAAAAACCTATTTTTCATCTAAAAATGGATTCAATGCACGAACAGTGATACATGGCAATGCCATACCAATTTCTGCTCTAAGTAAGACTGGAATAGTTTGTAATTCTTTTACTTCTTGAATAAAATTACCACCTTCTTTTCTAGTCAAAGTAGTGGAAACAAAGCTTGTTAATGGATCCTTAGAAGTAATAACTTCTGGAAATTTAATAGATGGCGCAGTTAGGTGCAATCTGTCTAACTCTTTCGATAACTTTTCATCAACAAATGATTCACCTTTGGTATATTTGGATACTTCTGTAACAACAATTTCTTTTGAAGTTGATTTGAATTTATTTTTAATAGAATTTCTATATGACTTTGGATTTCTTTCATCCTCAGGAACGAAAGTAGCACTATCAATACCAGACTGCCAATGTAACTCCAATACTCTGTTGGTTGCATCGAACTCTGCTTTTACCAAAGGTAATTGATCACCGTGTACTCTCTTCTCAACACCAAATTCAGGAATTATGACATCAAATGATGATTCATAAACTTGTGATACCTTCGCCATCGTTAACACTTGTCCAGTAGAACTTCCCATGTCATTAATAGTTTTACATAACAAAAGGTGGATAGCCTGTTCTTGTGTTTGATATGCACAGTCCTTCTTAAAATTACAATAATCAGCAGTGATTTTTAAAGATTCAATGTCTTCACCATAAAGTATGTCCTTCAAAACAGATTTCAGTTGTCTATGTACGACATGATCTGCATACCTTCTCATTGGTGCTGTAAAGTGTGCATATAATGGCAAATTAAAAATATAACTTTCATATTGATCAGGCTCAGTTTTTCCAGCAACGAAGTACTTGCTTCTTGGCATTGTTTTATACAATAACAGTTCAACAACAGTTCTTGCAGCTGGATCTTTAATTTCAAGAATGGATTGTAATAAAGCGTCAGGTGCACTAACATCCATTTCAAATCCTATCTTATTTACCTTGTTCTTGAATGATTCTAGTTTGTTAGTGGTTGGCTTAGCTTGCCTTCTCAAAAATGACAAGGCACCCAATTTACAATACAATTTTTCTGCCACTGAAGCATTAACCTTTTTCTGTATTTCATTGATAATGACATAACCAAGTGAGCTGTTGAAAATATTCAATTCAGGTTTTACTTTTTCGTCATCAAGTGCTTCAAATAGTGACAGAGATGACTCCAATTCAATACCGGGGATACCAACTCTTTCAGAATAGAATGATCTTGCAATTTCTTTAATTTTTGATAAGTACGAAGGTTCCTTGTTATTTGTTAGTTCTTCATTTATTTCATGAACTGTCATAATTAATGAAGGTGATACAATAGATTCACCTATCCAGGTAGATTTCAAAGAGTAATCCTTTGAGTCCAATGTGTATATTACTGAAATTGTCGCTGACTTCTTTGAACGTTCAAAAGTAAGTGATTTATTTATTGCTTCTGGAAGCAAATTAACGACACGTTGAGGCAAAAATACAGCAGTAGATCTCTTTCTGGCCCTTCTATCTAACGACGAGCCCTCTTCAATATGTGCCGTAACATCGACAATATGACATGCGAATTCAATAGTACCATCTTTGTTGTCTTTTACGTGAATTGAAAAATCAGTTATTTCTTTATCAAATGAAACAGTTAAAATGGTTGTAGATAGAGTTATCTGTAAAATTCCTACGTTTTGATAAATCAGCTTCTGATAATGGCAATACCTGAAAATCAGTTTCTTTCAGTAGTTGGATCCTTTGGATCTAAATATTCATTAGACAAAAAGTTATGATCTCTCAAAATTGCATCAATCTCAATATCTGGGTCATTGATTCCACCCAATTCGGATACCAAAATACCAAACGGATGTAAAGAAGTGATTGGCCAACGTTTTATAGATGCAACAAAAACCTTATCTGCATATTTATCTGCATTCTCTACAAAATCCTTAGGAGCAAACTCTGTAGGAATTGCAATTAGAGGAACTTTCTTATCGGTAGGTTTAAACCAGACAATCTTTGGAGCTTGAGTTGGTTTATTATGTTGGTCCATTTGAGCTTGTTGCGATGGTCTTAACAAACCCAATGTACCACTGAACAACTGACCAGGAATACGATCCAGAACAGCTACTACGTGACCAGCATATAATGGTTTAAAATCATCGTTGATCTCTTCTTCTTCACTTAGCAGCAAAGACTGGCCTTCAACTTCAACATCATCATTTTTCTTTTGAGTTGGTCTTTGCTTAAGAGAGCCCTTTCTTTTAACACTTGAAGATGATCTTATTGGTGAACCCAATACACCATCTTCATTTTGATCTGAAGATAATTGTGTTGATGGAACATTGGCGGTGGTTGTTGCTGCAGATGCATCGTTATGGTAATCATCACGGGTATCAAGTGATGCGATATCTTGTTGTGTCGAAGCATCTTTTCTTCTCTTCTTCTCTTCTTTTTCTTTTTTAGAGTCCCATACATTGTCAACAACTAATAATTCTACTGCTACCAGATCACCTTCTAAAGCTCTATTACGATCTTTTGAACCACAAATATAAATATCTGAGTCTAATACCCCATCAGTCGATACCCAGGCATCCGATCTATTCTTTTTGTTGACACGAAGGATACCAGCAACTAATCTACCTTCTTGAATTAAACCTGCAATATTTGCTTGAGGTAAATAGGGAGCAAACAAAGATTTCCTTTGATGTGGGTTATTGCTATTATAAATCGAGATGGAACCATTCGAAGCACGATGTTTATGACCCTGTTGGAAGTAAGCTGGTGGCTCTAGGGCATTAAATGATCCGAAATCTCTAGAACCTGACTTTCTATGACGAAATGGTGAATGTGAAGGTCCTGCTGACTGGATTTGGTTTCTCCAATTAGAAGAAGCACTTCCTGGATAGTTCTGATCGTTATTTCTAGACATGGTACGGCGATGACTTGAAGGTGTTTGTATAAAATCGTCAGAATCAGCAGTTTCATTTGAACTTCTATCTTGAACAGGTGTTGGAGGAAACTTAAAATGTTCTGAACCACCGGCTGTATTTGGGGAAGATGACTCCCCTGAAAAGCTGCCTCTTTTAGGAGATTTTACGTATGAAGCAGTTTGTGCATAAGAAGGAGAGTCATTAGGTGGGAATTTGAAAGCAGAAGGTTTTTCAAACGAATCACCCTGATCTGAAACGGCTTCAGGCCCACCTTTGGTCACACCCGCTCTTTTAGCTTGTTCCTCAGCAGCAGCTTTTTTCGCTTCATTAATCCCTAAGGAATGTCTTCTTGAATGTCCGTATACACCAGATTGAGAACTAGTTCTTCTATGTGCATTATTTTGGTCTTGTCCAGCGCTATAATTTGGTTTACCACCATCGCCATAGTATCCTGAGTTATTTCTTGAATGTGACCTACTTCTTTGACCGCCAGTATTATTGTTATTACTATTATTATTAGCTGAATATCTTTGATTATTATAGTAGTTATTGCCACCACCTGAACCACTATTGCTGCCACCACTATTATTTGTATTTATGTATTGACCAGCCTGCTGGGCCAAATGCTGTTGCTGAGCCAAAATATGTTGCTGAGCTTGTACTATTTCTAGTTGTTTCTGCAAAGTGAATTGTTCAACCATCAGATTAGTTAGTTCACTTTGAGAACGTCTATGAGCAACATGGATCTTTTTTGGATTATTTCTTCCTCCCGTTGTTGGGACGAAAAGGTAATCCTGTTGTCTGTTATTATTGTTACTATCGGACATATTTGCTTGTCTTGATATATTTTGATATTCCTTTCAAAGTTAGAAAAAAATAGATAATTGACTTTAAAGGGGAACTTAATGAGAATAAAAATAAAATAAAATGAAACGAAATAAAACAAAATACAATACAATACAATACAATACAGTACGATGCACCAATTTCACGGCGTAACAATATATTTACAAATGAAGCTCACTATTTCTCCAACTTTAAATTCTTTGCAAAGTTAGAAAACAACGACAAATGTGATAAAACAACCTTGACTCAATGGAGATATATGTTCTTTCACTTTTTAAATAATATGGTAAAGAATAATCTTATTTATTACAGCCTTTCAGCTTTTTATCGTCTTATTTGTCTTTAAAGGACCAAATCAAAAGAAATAAAAATAAAATAAAAGGGTATCCTTTGTCCGGGTTACTTTTAGCTAAATTATATGTTAACCTAAAGTTTAGCCTGAGCAGTACAGAACCAATTAAAAGATGATAAATGATGATTGAATTATTCAAAACCTAGTCCAAACAAATTTAACAAATCAGTAATTCAAATGTTTAGCTTGAAGGATATCTGAATCTTTGCTTTAGTTTGTTATTTTCCTTATTAAAAACGACGCCACCACTGGTATAAAAACACAATTTAAGGAACCTAAATAAAATGCTCACAAACAGAGAGAAAGAGACACAGATAGAGAGATCACACCAGCAAAGCAAATCAATTCTCTTACTTTAAATCAAAAAACCGTTTGTTATCTGTATTATATCAATTTTGTAGTTATCGATGATAAAATAACAATATGTAGCTGATATAACGGTATGGTATGTCTTTGTTTCATAAAGGATCACAAACAATTCTTTCCTTTATTTTTGAGGTTCTTGAGGGAGGTTTGGTGGGAAGGAGAAGGGGAAGAGACCAATTTCGTGAAAGGTGATGACTGTATTAATACACGTGACTGAATTTGATCACGTGAATTTAATTTTTAGTTTTGAATCATTTATAACGGCAGATGGTGATGGGATGAGGGAAAGGAGGGGGGGTAGGATTTAAGTAGTATATATATGGCGATGACAGTAATTCAGATCAAATAATTATATATTATCCACTGATATGCATCTATCTGTCAAGCATTCTCACATACTAGCAATTTAAAGTCATTACTATTCTTATTTTTATTCTTATTTGTATTCTTATCGTTTAATTTTATTAAATATTAATTATGATGGTGGGAATAAATATAAGATTAATTATGTATTATATATATGTAATCTAAACGAAGGTTTAGGATGATTTGGAAAATGCAATAAAAAAAAATTCACACACAAACAGGCACTCCCCCTCAAAAAGGAAATATCAACAACAAAGAAATCAAAGATAAATTCTGTAAATGTTATTATAATATTAAGTTTTTCTTACTTCAATTGTGTTTCTTTTCTGGGGGAATTGAATCGGATGATATTCCATGATAGCTTAAAACTCTAAAGAATCCAAATAAAAAATTAGAGCTAAATAACCATATAGCCAGTCCTATCACTATTAAAATAGCTTCCTTAAATGCCATTGGCTTGAAAAATGATTCAAGTGTTTGGTATATTAACTCAATTGACATGGATGATTTAAATAAATAAAAAAAATCTTGATTTTTTGACATACATTCTTTCCATTCAATGCAATGTTCAGCTACTATCGATGCCTTTGGCTTACTTGTTCCACAATTATTATGGAAATAATTTTCTTTGCATTCTAATGATTTATATTCAAATTGAAGTTTCTTTTCTGACATTACTTTTGAAATTTCATAGTATAATGTTTTACTGAATTTTATCGTCAGAGAAGTGATCAACAACAATACAACCCCATTCAATGTCAATTGTGAATAATATAATGTATTATACAACGTCTTATATTTTGGTTTAGAATTATCCCAAGTTGGCGACGGTAGTTTTATACTTGTTTTATTCTCCTCTATATATATCTTGTCGACATTATCATCACCTTTGTCATCAAAATTATCTCCTTCTTTGCATTCGTTATCATCACCAAAATAATCCCTTGAATATTCCAAATAGTCAACTCCAAACATCGGTGGTCTCTCTAAATTGGATTCACTCGAATTTGAATTATTTTCATCACCCATGACAAATCCATTACACGAATAAAGATTGTCATAACTATTTTTTTCAATTCTAGAATCTAGAGTATAACCATTATGCTCTAAGCTGATATTGTAGATTTTTATTGCTATAAGGATACCGATTGCAGTGGGAGAGATACAACCTTTACATAATGCAGTCAATACATGCAAATTAAATAACTCTGGTTTCAATTTTTTAATTAAAGATGGACCGTCCCTATCAGAGTTTTCAATATATTTCTTAAATTTCGTATTATTTCCTCTACCAGTAGATTTTTTCTTAGAAATAATGCCCCATTTATCATTGTTCCATTTTAAAAATGAAGTTGGCGATAGTTTTTTAAATTCAAAATCGTCAGATATGTCACTGATACCACGATCCCCTCCATCTTCACCACCATCATTCTCAAGATCTTCATCATCGATATCCTCAGCATATTCAGTTAATTCCAACAATTGTCTCAATGGAGATGGATTTGTTGGAAAATGAGGCATATATTTATTGAGAAGATGTGGCGGTAAAGAGCACATATTGTCTCGAGAAGTTAGCCTTATTGGCGATACAGATTCAATTTCCCCACCATTATGATTATAATTATTCATATCATCTGACATATATCCATAAATGCACACTTTTAATCAACGGTAAAGATGAGATCCCAAAACAAAAAACAGCAAGCCCAAACCGAAACCTATCAAAGAACAAAAACAAGGAAACCCAACGTAGCTTACAATTATACCTGTCAATCCAAAATTATCCTTCAATTTTACTTTATCTCTTACTTGGAAATTCAAAGACCTGCAATAAAATACCCAAACTTTTCTGCTTTCCCTATAAATAGTATAATTCAATATAATCTATAGTATTTATATAGCTTCAATATTCAAATTGTGAAATAAACCCAACCAATTGCGATAAGATTGAAAACTCCTTATCAACATTCTTAAGCCATTTACCTTTAAAACTGTATCATTTTAATTTTTGTTTAAAACGATTGATTGATATCATAAATTTTTATTCCTTGAACTTGTTCGTTGTAGGTATTAATTTTGCAAAAAGTCCTCGTTAAAGGTCAATTTTTCAAGAAGCTGTACTGTAACGACAATATACAAGAGACTAGAGAGAGCAGAGATAGTAATTGTACTGTATTTATTCAATTGTATCGTACACGGTCATGTCGATGGTTAGAATGTGCTGTGATCGTTATTATTATTATTATTATTATTATTATTATTATTATTATTATTATTACTATATTATGATAAGATATATAAATACATATACATACAACTGTAATTATTATTCTTGCTCCTGGACTATTTCCTGGTAATGGTCTTTGTCGTGGTCTTGAGTTTCGGTAGGTTTTAATTTGAATAATGAATCGATAAAACCTACAACTAATTTATCAGCGACACCAGTAGTTTTAATACTACCTGCAATACCGTATAATGCACTAGTACCATCAGAGGCAGGGGTCGAATTTGATTCTTTCATTTCTTCGATATTTCTCTTCAAAACAGTACACAATTCATCAACACTGTTGATACTTAATTTTGTTACAGCCAAGTGCAAAGCAGCTGGTTTTTGTAAGGTACTTAAATGCCAGCCTTCCTTTGCCAATTTATCTGATAATTCATAAACATCAATAACGTCAGACTTAAATGCAGTCACTGAACATTGGGGGTTACCAATAATTTGTAACTCTGGCAATTCGTTTTCAATATATTTTCTTAATTTACGTGCTGCACTAACAATTTCTTTGCATGACTTGATATACCCATTTTCACCGATATTAATCATTGTAGCCCAACATCCTACTACTAATGCACCTGGTCTTGAGCCTGCCAATGTAGGAGAACCGTAGAGACCACCTACCCAGTCAGAACTAATGTAATATTGATTCATTCTTAATTCATTGTTACGGTACATTATAATTGAGGAACCCTTTGGAGCAAACCCATATTTATGAGTATCACAAGAGATAGAGGTAACACCTGGAATTCTGAAATCAAATAGGGGAGCATCATCGAAACCTGCTTTTTCCATAAATGCAGCGACAAATGAACCTAAACAACAATCGACATGCAGAGGGATACGATAACCTTGTGCTAGCTTACCTAAGCCTTCGATATCGTCAATGATACCATGAGGGAAGTTTGGAGCAGAACCCACTAATAATACAGTGTTACCATTTATCAATCTTTCGACTTGCTTTAAATCGACTTTATAAGTGACTGGATCTAGCTGAACATGATGAGCTTTAATACCGAAATAATAGGAGGCTTTATCGAAACCAGCGTGAGCAGTTACAGGAATGATCATTTCTGGTTCGGTGATACCATGGTTATGATATGCGTACATTTTAGCACTTAAACAGGCCAGTAATAGAGATTCTGTACCACCTGAGGTAGTGGTACCACAGCCAGTATCCTTTGGAGCATGGAACATATTTAAGACCATTGAAATAACTTCTGATTCCATTTTACGTACAGCAGGGAAGACATCAGGATGTAATTGATTAGCAACACAATATTTTTCATAAGCTTTTGCTTGTAATCTAATCAAATCTTCACCACCATGGTAAACAGCACCTGAGACTTTACCTTCTCTCCAAGGGGAAGATGGTAATATTTCATTCAAGTCATCCAATTCTTTCAAGATTTCATATTCTGGGATACCGTTTAGGGGCAAAGTTTCGTAGTCTTGCAACACATCATCATTTTTAATCAGTTCCTTTTCTATAGACAACAAAGCTGAATTAATTTCCTTATCGACAGATCCTTTCAATATGAAGGAGTTCAATAGGAAACCAAATAGTTTTCTCATCAAATGAATAACAACATTATTAGCAGCACCAACAAAACCATAAGCTCTTATATAGAACAAACTCAAGTTCAAAAACTTGTAACAAAAGGAGACCAGTAAGTAATCTCTTAGGATATCTAACCACGATCTGGTATGGATGTAGTAGTTGACATGGGAAGAGATAAAACCAATTGGATCAGAGAGATCAATTGAATTTACGGTTTCAACAAAAGCATGAGATCCCATAATTACGTTTATAACAATGCAGAGTCCTTGGGGAGGTCAGTGTTGAAAAGCAGTAAACCAAACTTGTACAAAAATAACAATAAAAAACAGACACCTTTTTGATATCAAACAAAATAGATAACCAAAAAGTATCACACTAAACTAAACTACTTGCCAGTTCTTTATATATCTCTTGATTTTGCAAACCAAAATGAAATTGGTTACCTAATCTCTTTTGACATTTCTTAGTCCATAATAAAGATTGAGTACATTTATTTTATCAAATTGACAAACTTGACTTTACTTGACAATACAACAGGACCAGGATCAAGACCGGGACCAACACCAAGAGAACAACCAACTGGAAGCAACAACATCAAGAAACAAGAACATGAACAATAACAATATTCAGTAGACCATCTAACAAGACAAGGGTTGAAATTGAAGGAGGTCTCGGAATCGTTAAAGGAAAGGGGTTTGTTCCAATGAGAGCTGAAGGTGAAGGTGAAGGTGAAGGTGAAGGTGAAGATTTGGACCAGTAAGGGGAAACCGAAAGGGATTTAATAGTTACTTTGAAGAGAAGAGAAGAGAAGAGAAGAGGACAGAACAGAAGAACATTGGTTTGGTTACTTAATGATAGTTTTATATATCTGATTGGGATTGATTCGATTAGATGTACATTTAAATACGTATTATATGGGATACTTGTGTGTTTAATAATCGATGGGATGTCTTTGTTCAAGTTATCTTATTCGAAAGACATTAGAGTTAGTTAAATATGCCCCTCTCTTCTTTTAATGGTGTATAACGTAGTTGATTTGGTTTTGGAATTTGATCCATATTATTACTACTACTCTATTTAATTAGATAATGAAACTAGACACTAGTTTGTATTTGTATTTGTATTTGTATTTGTATTTGTATTTGTATTTGTATTTATAGTTTTTTTCTTAGTATGTGTATGCAGGAGAATTAGACCTCGTTGATCTGTATCTTGAATTTTTGGCCATCGATCTTTCTTTGTTGCTTGGGTTAGAGGGTGATCTATGTCCTTGATTAGTATTCATATTACCTCCAGCACCTGATCCATTTCCGTTACTACTACCATTGCCATTACCACCATTGGTATTACTTATTTTTAAATCATAGTGTGAATTCATCTTATTGATATAGTTTGAAATGAATTTACATTTATCTTGTAAACTCTTCAACTTGGCAATTTCTTTGCCCCCTTCTACCAACACACTATCATATTCTAATGACGCAGTTGGTCCATCAATGATTTTTTTCATTTTATCCATTTGTTCTTTCTGGTTCTTTAATATACTACCAAGGTCTGCTGCATTGGATGAATTTTTTTGGTATTCCAATCTTAATCCTTCATTAGATTCGTATTTTTCAGCATTCTCTGTCTTGATGCTATCTAATTTTTCTTGATTGATTTTAATCTCTTGTTCAAATTTGTTCAAATATTCTTGGATTTTACCATTATCCGTAATAGTTAATAATTCCGCTATTTCTATCTCATCCTCTTTTAACAAATTTAATCTTTCCCTCAATTTAATGGTTTCCGTAGTACTGCGTTCTAACCTTTTCTCTGAATCATTTAATGATTTTTCAATGTCTTGAAATTTCTTAAAGCTGACACCAATTTCATTCTTAATATCATCAAACTTGTTTTGTCTATCAGTTTCAATAACCCTTTTATCTAATATAATCTTGCATTTTTCTCTATAATCATTCTGAATATCTTTCATCCTACAGACTGTTCTCTTCATCAACTCCATTTGATAAGTTTTAATATCAATAATTTCATTATCACTAGATAATTGAGTCTCAGAATACTCTAACGGCGATAAGATAGGTAAATATGGATGTATATTACCTTGTGTTTCGTAAGTCAGTCTTATATCGGATAAGCTATTAGATGGTAATGTACCTGATAATAGGCCTTCAATTAATCCATTATAGTCTAATTTTGTAACTTCTCCAATAGAGGTATCTCTGGTTTTTAAAAAATGATTTATAGATTCTTTCATATGTTCATATTCATTATCTTTTTCAAATTTAATTTTATTCTCTAATATATAATGATCTGGTGAATCTTTAACAATCATTTTAATTAATGCAAGTTTACCATTGCTCTTCAATCGTATATTCTCCAAGGCTTCTAATTTGGGATCCAATAATGGATCAAAACTAATTATAAGTTCAATATTATATTCAGAAAGTAATGTTGGATCGTTCAGTAAATGGGTAGATGTAGTTAAAAATAACCAATCATCATCATTGGCCTTGTTATATTTTTTCATTCTTTTAACAGAATAGTCATAATCATCTCTTGAGTATCCTGTATATTTATTTGAACTTGATTCTGCCAATGGCGTTATGCTTTTAGATTCTGAAGAATCATTAGATGAATCGATCTTGTTTTTTTCTGTTGGATAGATATGCTTCTCATCAAATAGAGAGGTTCCTGATACTCTTTTAATTTTTAACCTTTTTCCTAATAAGAAACCTTCTAATAAATCTAACTCTCTAACATTATGTGAGATTAATGAAATTTTTAAAGGATTTGGAAATTTTGTTCTGTCTCTATTTATTAAACTTGAAATTATATGATCCAATTTTTGAAACTTATCACTCGAACTAATTAATCTCTCGTTTGGCTCCATTAATAAAAACTGTCTTGGCATATAATGATCTACTAATAAACATGGATGATTTAACACAGCTCTGATATTATTATCGAATAAATAAACCAATTGAGCATGGGAAATTTTCGAACGAACATCTTCTGATTTAATTGTAATATTCTCTGAATTATCAACACCATCTTCAATCTTAATGCCCATCTCTTCTCTAAAAGATTTAGAATGTAAAGATATTAAAATCTCTACTAAATCTTTTTGAAATGTCGTTAAACCAACTGGCAAGTAATGAATATGCAATTTCTTCGACATCTCTGGTAAAGCCAATAAACTCAATAATATATATATATTAAAATAACACAAATATAACCAAAAAAAAAACCCAAAAAAACAAATCCACAGTACAATTCTACCTGTTTAATTCCAATCTCTATTCTTATATTCAATACTTCTTATGAACTTTGACCTAAATAAAAATATCTGTCTACTAATACAATTTAAATGGAGATAAAACCCAGCAACAGATACGCTTCAAACAATTCCAGCAAGATTCCAATCTTAATCTATTGACCTGTTATTGTAGTATATCTTCTCATTCAATCTAGAAGTCAATAAAATCTTTGCATTGATATAAAGAAAGGTTGGCTCAATTCGACTTCTTAAATGAGCTAAGGCTATAAGATATTTTAATAGTGAAAAACTTTTTGTACGTATAAAACTCAAGAATAAGTTAAAAGAATCGCTGTAATTAAACTAAAACAGATATTTAATGACTATTTAATCAATGGAATACTATAGTAACATGTTTTTAATAGGATTCATTTAGTTTTCCCTTTTGTAGATTTCAAATTATTCACAAATTGCTCAAATGACATGTCTTCAGTGTTGAGGACGGTTGTCGACTGGTTATTTAGTGGGAGAAGTTTACTCTTCAAATATCTATCTTGACTTTTACCAATAATGGTGTCTATGTACAATGGTATTAAATACCCTATGTTCCTCTGTCTTAAAGTTGTAGCGTATGATCTTGCCATTGTGGTGTCTTCTTCATTTTCTGACGAATATCTAACAGCAATGAAGTCACCTCCATCTATGCAAGAAGATAAATTCTGATTGAATGTCTCTTGTGTAATTGACATCAAAATCTGTTTGCCATCTCTGAAAGAAACTACTTTTGGTTTACAGACGGAAAGTGAAACCATCGACTTAGAATATAAAATTAGATGGGAAAATATTGTTCTTTCATCTGGAGTGACGTTTCTTGTCAATAGAAGGATAGATCTTTCCAAATTGTACAAATACTCTAATGGTTCAACTTTCGAGCCCTTTACATTACTGTAGATAACTTTTGTATACCTATTTATCATAGTTTTCAGTTGGTTGACTTCAGGGCTTTTGAAATTATTTGATGTCAGATTATTATATGCCAAACTTTTCGCAAGCCAAGGGATATCAACATCTAATCTATAATTATTAACACTTTTCATTCTAAAATCACTGTTAATAGGTAATGAATGAATCCTTACATTCCTCCTTCCCTTCTGATAGAATTGCAATTGGAATTGAATATAGTCTGTCACATATTTATTGGAATTTAACAGACTTAATTCAAATGGCAAGCTTAAACAATTATAATTAACCACATATCCATAATTCATCAATGGTTTCCTGTCCTCAGACTGTAATACGTAATTTAGCGATTTCAATGCAATTCCTGAGGTGACTTTTACAGTTATCTTCACGTCAGTAATACTATAACTTTGTCTCATCTGTAGGTACCAGTCCCAACACTCTTTAAATCTGGATTCTGAGTAATTATTAAACTGGTATAGTGATGAAGGTCTGTATAGCAATGGTGATTGCTCTAAAACTCCTACCTGGTCTAACGACGACATAAAATATTCATATATAAATGAGGGGAACATTTCTCGGAGCTTCTTATAAAAGTTATAGCTTTCATTAAAGAGTTTCGGATTTTTATTTAAATTATGGAATTGACGAATATGTTCCTTCTTATCTCTCGAAAGAACTTTACCAGCTCCCTTGGTGCAAGGTCCTGTTAAAAAATTTAATATTATTGGATTCTTAATCTTAAATTTTACGCATATGGTACTACATATGAATTGTGACAAACCAGTAGCTCTTTTACATCTTTTCTTGTCTCGTGCTGTTTTTTCATAAGATGATTGTAAAGATTTTAATATATTAATAAAAGTATCAGATGGTTCTTTCCAAATTTCATTAATGTCATCAGGCATATGTTTCATGAAATAGTTAATATCTAATGTTTTCAAATTCCTTTCAATCTTTGAATTGGATATAGTAAATATATAGTTACTCTTTGTTGATAACGTAGAGTGTACAATGACGTTACCACATCCATCCATTGACACAATTGCAATTTTACAATTTTCCAAAGTTTTCAATTTATCTAAACTATTAATTAAATGTGTCACTAAAGTTCCCAAATCAGAAGGGTCACTTGATGTATCAATTAAAAACATCAAATACTGAGATCTAGAGCCTAAACTTTCATCATCGAAGGATTTTATTAAAGTATTATTGCCCATACAAAACCCACATTTTACAGTTCCATGAGAGGAAGACAAATCTTTGCTAACCAACAAATCATCATTGAAAAACCCACAATCTTGACATTCAACGATTCTAGTTCCTCCATTAACACCAGTCTCCAGATCAGGTTCATAGATCCCTCTTATCGTTCTTCCATCGAGAGAGCTGATCTTTAGCGACCTTAATTTATCCCTGTCGCTCATTGTTGAATAGCTAAATTCAACAGGTTTTTTTTCTCATAAAACAGAAATAAGTCTCAGATATACCTAAATCAACAGCACAATGGCATGTTAGTCCCTGTTATGCTCCATCTTAGCGTCAACTTCTTCAAGAATGGATTAGGCTCTTATAGTTCAGTTTAATATATTGAGATCTTAAATAGAGAAATACATTTAAATATGAGTATCATCATGAACGAAATATATAATATTTTGCAAGCTATCGAATTTTATTCAAATATCCAAAAGATTTTGAAAGGTTTAATATATAAGAAAATGGTTCAACATCTAGATGGTTTCTGGCTTTAATATGAGGTAAAAAGAGGTCTATAGATCGATCTAGAGTTCAATCTTTCTAAGATTGATATTATTATTGTGTGATTTTTTAGTTGAAAAAGGATTTGGGTTTTTTTATTCAAGACAATAACAATCATTGCTAGGAAAAAGGAAAAATGACAAAATTGAAAGCAATTGGTCCAGATAGATTTCGCCCAACCCAATGGTTGAAGAGTGCAGGGTATGCTCCACAAGTATTTATTTTCAGAAATTTAGAGTCAGGTCAGGTTCTTTATTCCCAATTGCCAAACTTTAGTGAAAAACAGATCAAATTACAGTTTCAACGACCTAATTGGGCTAACAAACAACCATCTGCAAGACGTGATATTTGGAAATGTATGTGTGTTGTTGATATGCCATCTTATGAAGCTAGCGTGCAATTGTATCAAAATTTAGTTAGGTTGAGATACTTGAGAGACGTTACTTATGTTAAACAAACTAATGAAATGAGGAAAAAAAATAATGATGGTAATGTTTGGTTTAGTGGCCAATATAGACCAACATACACACAAGAAGCTGTTGCTGATTTAGTGGAATCATTAACTAAAATTGATAGCGAAGATAAAAAACTTACTATACATTGGGAAGATCAATGGAGAATGGGGGACAAAGAAAAATATTGGACACCAATTTTACCACAAGTAGAACATTCATTAATGAGTCGTGTAGGTAATACGAGCAGGGAAGAAAGTTCTATTTTGAAAGAGTTGGGAGAAAGAGCTAAAGAAGCCTTTTCCAAGGGGAATGTTGAAAAGTCATCTAGTGTCTAAGATGGTGTTCTTTTGAGATTTGAAAGAATACATTCATTTGAGATTTGAAAGAATACATTCATTTGAGTATAGAACAATAAAATCAAATCAAATCAATACGACGAGAATGCTTTACATACCCATCCCTGACAGAACAGACATATGGACACAAACACATATACATTCACATATATATATATTATACAATCGTAGTATCATTCCTACCTGTAAATAAGCAAGACAAACTCAATTAATAAATTCACTGATGTATATATATAAATGTTTTGTGTGACTGAGTATATTCGAATTTTTTTCTATTCATTTATAAAGTAATATTTTGTATATATATATACATATTTATTGAAAAAACAAACTTTACTTACGATGAATCATGTTTAGTGGTAAAAAAGGTGGATCTCAAGAATATCGATAAATTTTTTTAAATAGTTAATAAATGGGTCAAATGTAAACTATCATACTGGGAATATAAGTTCGAGCTGAAACAAAAAAAAAACATCAGAGACAACACAACACAACACAGCAAACACAGGTTAAGTTTGATCCCCCATTCGTTAGGATATAGACATTCACATCATTTAAGCATCTTCTTGTAAGACTTTGTTCAATTTTTGAATCTTGGAAGCAATACTTAGATCGACAGTCTTGTCACCGATTTCTACGATCAAACCACCTTGAATATCAGGTTTGATGATATTTTTCAATTTCAAAGTCTTACCTTGGCCAACCAATTCAGATTGAGTCAAAGCCTTTTCGACACGCTTGAATGATTTGTTGTCTAAAGGTTGGGAAGAAGTGACGGTGGCTTGGATCAAGCCGTTGTAAGCATCTGCTAGTACTGAGAATTGGGAAGTGACCTTTGGTAACAAATCCAATCTGTTATTTTCAGCTAGAACTTTCAAGAAATTGGAAACAGTAGCATCCAAACCCGATTCTGATTTGATCAATTCATTGACGACGACTTTTCTCTCTCCTGAAGATAAAGCTGGGTTACCCAAGATTTCGTTCAACTTTGGATCTACTTGTAAAGTTTCTCTCAATTTGGTCAATGACTTGTTAGCTGAATCGATGGAAGTTTCTCTTGAAGCAGCAGTGAACAAAGCAGTTGCATAGGTACCATCTAAGCCAAACAATTGGACAGGAGGTTTGGCACCAGCTTTAGCACTAGCAGCCATAGAACGTACGAAAACTCTTGAAAACATGATGTATAGATATTGGATATGTGTTTGTGTGAGTATGTATAAGTGAAACTTTAAACTTTCTTAATAAATAGACAGGCGAAGAAGATGAGGGTACAACGGTAAGCTTATACTATATGATATTAAAGTCGAGTATTGAATTGAATTGAGTTGAGTTGAAATTTAATATGAACAATCAATCCCTTTTCAAACAGTGTTTAATTTGTTAAAAGTGAACAAAAAAAAACACGATAAAAATGATCTAACAATTGGAAGATAGCTCGTAACAGTAAAGCTAGGGTCTTTGGATATAGAAGTTAAATGCAAAAGATGCAGTATCTAGACAGTCTGGAGAAGAATTGAAGGTGTATTACAACAACTGAAGTGAAGTGAAGTGAATTGAATTGATGGAAAACCCAAAATTGTTGTTAATTTCAGAGGAACAAAGGATTCTGATTTAAAGGTTGGTAGTCTGTGAAAGCCAATTTTGTCTCGAAGTCGAGTTAGAATTCCAAAGCAGTGCAATCCAATCCAATCCAATCCAATGCAATCCTTTAGTTTCCTTTCCTTTGGTCTGTCTAGTTTCTTGTTGAAGAGTTAGTGTAAGTGTAAGTGTAAGTGTAAGTGTAAGTGTAAGTGTAAGCTCAGATTCAAATTCATCTGGTCCATTCCAATGAGAGAGGTTTCTTGAGGGGGAAGAGAGTACGGATACAGATAGTCATTCTACACGTAGTACATATATATATATTTTTATGATTTCTTTGGGGACATGTTATTGGTTTACAGTCACGTGTGTTGCACATGACACATACAATTTCTTTATCAATCGTCTCTTCTGACGTCTGCACGTGACATCCAGTCCCAAGTCCACCGCTAACTTCCTAAACAGGAGAACGGCTGTCCAGAATTGGAAAGTATACCCGAAAGAGGGAAAACACCGTATCCGAAATGAAAAAATTTTTGTGTTTTTTTCTCTCGTTTCTTTTGTCATTGCGATGAGCTTCTGAAATTTTTTCAAAAATCCCATCGCATTGCAACTGGAAGTGGAAGTGGAAGTGGAACTGCACAACTACAACAACAAGACTGAAAAAAAAATTAAAGATGAGATGAGATGAGATGAGATGAGCTGAGATAGGATAAAATTAGATAAAATAGATTGCAGTTGATCACCTTTGTTGTTTGCTTTGTCTTCGTAAAAGTAACCCACATTACTGTATTTAAGTTCAAGCTCAACTGAATTAGCAAGAACTGCCATCTAAGTTCTGATTTATCATTTGCTGTTCTAATCTTTGAATACTTTGTTTGGTAATTGAAAAGGAAAAGGAAACTGAAACTGAAACTGAAACTGAAATGGCTAAATCTCTATCTGAACAGATTCTGGATATAGCTAATAAGCCTGTCAACCAAGACTTCGACATCGAAGATGGCGAAGGGGCCGTTTTCGAACATAGAGATCGTAACGGCTCTGATGACAGTGATGGACTGGTTTCCGGCGACGATGAAGAACACAATGATCACTATTTGCAAGTAGGGAAATCAAAACTGAGAAAACAAGATGCTCCAGTTCTAAAAGACAGCAAGTATCAAGGTACTGTCGGTTCCAGAGCTCAGCTCTACGATGAGGATGATGAGGATTCATTGATTAGCGAATCCGAGGAAGAAATGGAACAAGAACATGAACAAGAACATGAACAAGAAGCAGAACTACAAGATAGCGATGCCCTCTCTTTTGCCACCGATTCAGAAGATCAGATGGTCGATGGGAAAAGCGACAGTGAAAGTGAAAAAGAAGAAGATGAAGATGATATCCAAGAGGAAGAAGAAGCACAAAGAGAAATTTTATCAAAATTAGTTAAACAAGAAACAAGACATGCCGTAAATAAATTATCTCAATCCACAAAACGTGATGCGGCAAAAGGTCTAATGATCTTACATCAATCAAAAGTATTCGAAAGTACTATAGATACAAGAATTAAGTTGCAAAAAGCTGTCACTTCCGCAAACCAATTACCATTGACAAAGGAATCTTGGAATGTCTATCTAAAGAAGTCAAAGGATACTAAAAAATTGTTAAAGGAAACCACCGATAAGTTAAACAAAGTATTACAACAATTGGTAGATTTCAGAAAGGAATTTCAAACTTCTGACGGCATTAGCAAAGAAACTGAAACTTCTTCTTCAACCAAAAGATCTTTTGAAGATTTATGCGGTTATAGTAAATCTTTGGACAAAGATTTGAAAAATTACAGAATTGCAGTACTAAACAAATGGTCTACTAAAGTAGCATCTGCTTCTGGTAACACTGCTTTGTCTTCAAGCAAGTTTAAAGCTATCAATCAGCCTGCCGATGTTCAAGTGGAAAACCAATTAGCTGATATTCCAAGATTGGTAAAACGTACTTGTCTAAATAGAAGAAGTGTAAAACCATTGAACTTAGAAGAGGATTTGGAAAAAAATAGATTGGCTTTGTTGCAAAATAGCTCTACAGTTGAAAATGACGATGATAACGGTGAAGATGAGAATCCAGATATTCCTAAAAATTATGACCCAAGAAGAAAGGATAACAGCAGTATAGATACTACCGAAAACCCATATATATTCGATGATGAAGATTTCTATCGTGTATTGCTAAATGATTTAGTGGATAGAAAAATATCAAATGCTCAAAATTCCCAAGGTTCAGGTGCCACCATTGCAATCACTTCACGCTCAAATAATAAGCTAAAGAAGAATGTTGATACAAAGGCCTCTAAAGGTAGAAAATTAAACTATTCCATCCAAGAACAAATTGCAAATTACGAGGCTCCATTAAGTAATGGTTACAAATGGTCAGATGAACAGATTGATGAATTCTTTGCAGGTTTATTAGGACAAAAAGTTAACTTTAATGAAGAAGAAGAAGGTGTTGTATCTGAAGCTGAAGCTGAAGCTAACGCTGAAGAATTGGAAGCTATCAAGAACGATGACATCCAAATTTTTGGTTAATTCATTCACGTCTTTCATACCATTAGAACACTCAATTTTTTTGCATTAACAGCATTTTGTCATTCCATTAGATTTTAATACAAACAATAATTCGTTACATTTTATAGAATTGTATAAATTACAGATTATTATATAAATAAATATTAGAAGATTTATTCAATTATTAATAAGTTAATCATTAATTTCTATACACCATTATTACTGACATTTTTCACCTCATCGCTCCATAAGAGAATGAAACAAAATATTTAAATATATCATTTTACAATTCAATGTTGAAAGAAAGAAAGATGTATAATGTATTGAAGTAAATCATCAAAGGATATCAAAAGCCATATCAATTGTTAAATCCATTTGAGCAGTACCATTTTTATTTTCTTTAAAATGAGTTTTGTTATCAGACCTTTAGATCAAAAGGATAGAGATAATGTAATATCATTCGAACCTAAATCATTATTTGTTATTAAATCAAAGATTAATTCAATTCAACATTTACCAAAT